TCCTTGATAAAAATGCAACGAAAAAATACCTCAGTATCATAAAACATGGATGTGTGGAGGGTATAATGCAACAATAATGGTCTTTTCAACTGGGAAAGTTTATTGCTATTGCAATTGCAATGCTATTATTTCTGTACCACTGAATAGCTGAAGCTCTCTTTGTGATGGTTTCTAGACCTTTATAGAAAACCTTTATACCTTCCTATGAAATAAACATTAAAAATGCCAGCTCAGTTTTGAATTGTGCTTTTTCCGTAAGAAAAGAATGCAGAACAAATTAGGTTGATGCTTAGCAAAGGAAAAAGCAGAGCACAGGTCTTCTCTCATATTCTGTATCATGCCTTAATTGGTTTTCCTTTTCATACTTTTTCCTGTTATTCCAATAATTTTTAAACTGATTTTAATTTTGATTCTAGTCATTTTTCATATGCTTTCTCAAGCAAATTAATTAATTTACTTGAGACGGTTTACTTAAGATTTGATTTCTTCCTTCTGTTTCTCTGTTGATATATCTCACATCAGCATACAAGGACATTGGGTTTTGTTTCAGTTCTTGGAGTTGTAAACATTGGTGATGTCATGGAAAATACAGGGCAAGAGAAGCACAGAAAGGCAAAGCACCATACAGGGCTGTAAATGTGCTCTCTTTTTTCTGCTTCAGTCTTCTTGGGGAGCAGTTTCTTCCTATCTCTGAGACACGGCTTCCAGAAACTGCCTATGTTTTGAAGATAAGGTGGGGTGACACCAGGTCAGCTTCTCATTGGTTGGTTGTTGCTCTTAACTTCATTACTCAACACAGAAACAAAGACAAATCAAATGGTCTGTTTTGAGCACAGCCTCTTCCACAGCTGCTCTACAAAGAAGCAGCTTGAGAAGCCAAGTGTGGCAGGAGGAGCTGTCCCAGTGTGAAAAATATGGAAAATGCAAAAGTAGCCCTTCCATCTTTTGCAGAAATATCTGGCTGCCCTGTGAGGGAAACAGGATGCTCAAATTCTACATTTCTGATTCAGCAAGGCTCTTCACAGTTTCCCTTTGTGTCCAAGGATTCTGTCTGGCTTGAGGACTGAGGAAACTGTCCTCTTCCTGTTTGGGCCATCAAGCAAAATTGAGCTCAGAGGATGCATTTTCCCCTGTCCTGATAAATGCTCCAGCACGGAGCTACAGTGGTACCTTGGCTCGTGAACTTAATTTGTTCCAGGACTCTGTTCGTGACCCAAATTGGTTGTGAGCCAAGTTAAATTTCCCCATAAGGTTCAATGTAAATAAGGTTCATCCATTCTGTAACTATTTTTTTAATCAGAAAAATGTGAAGCAAAGTGACAAAGAACAACAAAGATGGTGGCCATCCCCCCCCCCCCCCACCACCTCGAGCACAAGCGCAGACATCTCTCCAACCCCCCACCCCACCCCAGCATGACTGAAATCGCGTCCTTCATCCCGGCATGCTGGGCAGGGCTGTCTTAATGCACGGGCCTGATGGGCACTTGCCCATGGGCCCCATACTAATCTGTGTATGTTAACCCTTCAATGCACCTTGTATCATATATGATAGATACCGATCAAAGGCGTATAGTTGCTTCACTAATTGCTAATTTAGGTTCTTTTCTGCTTTGTATCGACCATTTACATTTTCATTCCTGTTAGTTGTCATAGGGGCCCCAGTACACTGCTTTGCCCAGGGCCCATAATGCTGTTAAGATGGCCCTGGTGCTGCGGGGGGGGGAGCGGAAGAGATGGGCATGATCACAGGTGCACTCGGGGGAGGAGACGGGTGCAATCATGCTGGCAGGGAGGGGTGATGGCTGAGATCACGGTTGTGCTCATGCAGGAAAGACGGGTCATCTTCCCCCCGCCCCCAGCACAATCGCAGCCATCTCCCCACTCGGGGGGTGAGGAGATAGCCATGATTGCATTCACCACCCAATGCGGAGTTCGTGAACTGAATCAAAATTTTTATGAAATTTTTGTTTGTGACCCAATTTGGTCGTGAACTGAGGTGTTCATGAGCCAAGACACCACTGTATATCACTATGGCTTTCTTACTTGGATCCCCTGGTCTGCCTATGGATGCTTCAGTATCAGTGGGCTGGTGTATCGACACTAACATTCCATTGTAACTTTTAAGAAGGTATTCATAGTGCTCAACCCCTCTCCAGACTAGGTTCAGACTGAGACCTGGAACAGAGACACTGCCCCACTGCCTCACTGCCCCTGAAACCACCAGCCGTTGCTGCTAAATTGTCTTTTTCTCTGCTGCACGGTTCAGTGCTGGGTGTCATCAGCACAGCTTCAGCCACGCTGACACTGATCCAAGCCAGCGCCTGGGCTGTGAGCAGTGTTTAAGCTTAGCTGCAGATCTGCAAGTGCACAGCTGCTGGGGTGAGGCCGCCTTCACGCCGCCTTCCCTCCTACGCCCTATTAAGATGAGTGGAAAGGGTTGTACATGCAGATGCTCCTCTATTGTCCGTTGCTCACTACAGCCTACCTCACAGGGTTGGAGTCAGCAATGCATCGACAACATGGTGCAACTGAAAAAAAAAGGCAAATGCTATTTTGGGCTGCAATAACAGAAGTATGGCTTCCAATTCATGTAAGAGTTTCCCTCTGCTCAGCACTGCTTAGGTCTCAACTGGAGTAGTGTCCAGATCTGGGTACCACAATTTAAGAAAGATGCAGCTAAAGTGGAAAAGGTTTAGAGGAAGGTTTATAACAAACATGATCAGGAGGCAGGAAACAAAGTCCTAGATGAGAAATTGAAAAAATTGGTGAAGTTTAGCCTCGAGAAGAGAAAAATGAGGCGAGATATGATATCACTTCTCAAATACTTGAAAGGCTGACACACTGGGGAGGGCCAGATTTTCTTCCTAATCATGCCAGAGTACAGGACACAGAATAATGGGCTCAAGTTACAGGAAGCCAGACTCCAACTGAACATTAGGAAATACTTCCTATTAAAGGAATAAGACAATGGAATGGTGTGTGTGGAGGGGTTACCTGGTGAAGTCAAGGGCTCTCCAGCTGTTCAGTCATCTGTCAGGGATCCTCTAACCCAGGGGTCCTCAAACTTTTTCACCAGGGGGCCAGTTAGAAGGTGCCAGGGTTGGGCGCGGGCTGGAAAGGTGGTCCCGGCGGGGTGTGTGGGCCAGAGTGCGCTGAGGCTGGGTGGCGGGGCGCACGGGCATGGACGGGCACATGCATGCAGTGAGGGGAGGCAAGGCAGGGGCGGTATGTGCCATGATGTAGCAGCGGGCGCGGGATGAAGCACCTTGCTTGCTTCGAGATCATTTTCTCCTAGTGAGTCCAAAACGATTTTGCGAGCAAACCACCACCTCCCCATGCTGGGGGCGAGGCAGGAGGTGGCATGTGGGTGCGCGTGCAGTGTATTGAAAACCTCTAAGGCGGGCTGGATAAATGGCCATGCAGGCCAGATCCAGCCCCTGGGCCATAGTTTGAGAACCCATGCTCTAACCTGAAGCCTTGCATCAAATCAAGTAGGGGGTTGGACCCAATGGCCTTATTGGCCTCTTCCAACTCAGCCCCCTATTGGCTCCTTCCATGATTCTGTGGTTCCACAAAGGAAGGCACAGCCTTGACTTTACAAACCAGTGGTACCTCAGCTCACAAATGCCTCAGTTCATGACCAAATTGGGTTGCAAACAAAAATTTCATAAAAATTTTGACTCAGATCGCGAACTCCGCATTGGGTGGCAACCTTGATTGCAGCCATCCCCCCATCCCCACCCCGAGTGGGGAGATGGCCACGATAGTGCTGGGGGCGGGGGGGGGGAGATGGCCGAGATCACACCCCTCTTTCCTGCATGAATGCGCCTGTGATTGCGCCCATCTTTCCTGTACAAGCACAACTGCTATCTTGGCCATCTCCCCCCCCCCCAGCACAATCGTGCCTGTCTCCACCCCCTGAGCACACCCCCACAGCATGCCCACATTTGCATCCATCTCTCCCCCCCAGTGAGCCCATGTTTGCACTCCTCTCCCCCCCCCCCAGCATGCCCACATTTGTGCCCGTCTCTCCCCTTTCCCAGATTGCATCGGGATGACGGGCGCAATTGCTGTTGTGCTGGGGGGAGGCGGGGAGATGGTCACACTCGTGCTCAGGGTTGGGGGGTGGGGGAGATGGCCATGATCTTTGTTGTCACTTTGCTTCATATTTTTCTGATTAAAAAAAAATAGTTACAGAACAGATTAACCTTATTTACATTGAACTTTATGGGGAAATTTAACTTGGCTCACGACCAATTTGGGTCATGACCAGAGTCCTGGAATGTATTAAGTTCATGAGCCAAGGTACCACTGTACTGTGCTAGGACAGAGCATTGTAACTTGCTGTCCTGCAACACAGGGGGTTGGATCTGATGGCTTTCATGGCCCCCTGGTATTCTTTGATTTTGGAGGGCACTCATTCACAGTGTTACCATAAGCCAGAGACAACAGCATGTCACAACAAAGTAGCCTAGTCTGAACCAGGTATTGTGTGTCTGAATGAAGGCACCACATGAAAATGCCAGATGTTTTGAATGTTTGTCTTTAGGAAATTGGGAGTGGAGATGCACAGAACTGCTTTAACTATTTATCTGCAAGTCACTTCTCTATACCAAAAAAGCAGGTTTTTTGCAACAATGAACGGCTCAGCAACCACACGATCACAAATAGCTCTTGGGGAAATGAAGAAAATGACTAATTTCCTTCCTTGTTCCACCCAACGCTCAGAGGCTTCTCTATAGTTCAGGATTAACAAGCATGCATACAATAATAAAAATGGATTCAATAAAAACACGAGCCCACTAAGGCACAGTATGAAGTATCAATCTACTGTGAAATGCCAGAACTGTTTAAACAACGAATCCATTTCTGCGATTCGAGTTCAGTGTTTCAATTTCAAAGTCTGTCGGGCTCGCGGAAGAGAAAACAAAGAGGGAAAGAGGGCGGACCAAGCGAGGGCGGCGGGCGGAGAACCGAGAGCGGCTGTCCGTTAGGAGGCCATTTGCAAGAAGCGCTACCGATCCTTGCGTGCCGAGTGTGGCACCGGGACGGTCAGCCAAGGTGCCAGATCGTTCCTGGGGAGGGAAGAAAGGTAAGAGGAGGGGAGCAGTAGGACATGCGAAAAGCCGCTGCCTGTGTGCCCCCTGGAGCGAAGCCTGCGCGGGTTCCCTGCCCAGCCCGCCGCCCTTCGTTTTCGGGGAACAGGCGTCGCCCCGCAGGACGCCCAGGCCGCCCACCTGGGGAGGGGGAGCCGACGAGGCGCTGCCCTTCTTGCTCGTACAGGGAGGCGGAATAGCTCCGCATCTTGGGCGGGCCGAGGGGAGCCCGCTTCCCTTCTTGGGGAGCCCCAAGCGGGAGTGCCTCGGCCGAGGTGTAGCCGCCCCGGTCCGCTCCTTGCTCCCCTTCGGGTAACGGGCAACACTGGCTTTTCCCAGCAGCTCCCCTTGATGTCAGCACTGCTTGTTCTCTCCCTCTGGAGAGAAGAAAGCGCGAGGTGAAACCGCATCCAGGCAGCAGCCGGAAATAGGAGGAGAGGGGCCCTCCGTCTGCTGGTCCCGCAGAAAGGCAGGTTGGCGCCCCGCCTGGTTTGCAGTGGAAGCCAAGAAGGAGCTTCTGGGGCTTTCCAAAGTGCGCCATTCGTTCGTCAGTTTCCTGCTCAGCGTTACTAGTTTCGCAGGCGATACCTGCCATTGTCACTTGGGGAAGGCGCCAGTTTCCCGAGTTTCCTTCGGGCTTCTCTGCTTGAACTGAGGCTGTTTCTCCTGTTTTCGTTGCGGGAGGAAAATGTGTCCTTGGCACGGTTTTATCCCCCACCCTTGGGTTTAGAGCTCTCCGCTTCTCTGTATATCACTTTAACCAATTAAAAGCACGGCGGTCGCTTTTGTCTGGGCTTGTAGTTAACACGCACGCACACGTAGAGAAAACGCCGGGATTCTTGGGTGAAGCTTTGGAGGGCAACAACTGGGGGAAAAGTTCCGTAAACTTTTACGGGAGGGATGACTAGTGCACCACGTAAAGGAGTCCTCGAAACAAGGAACTTGCGGCTCTGTTTGTGAAACTGACATGAAGAAGTAAGTGTCAGTGTTGTTCTGCAATACTGTGGTGCCACGTAGAGATTCTGCAGCAGGGACAGAAAGAAAGCCACCTTACCTAATGAGAAAAGCGGATGCATCCCTGGGTAGGAAGTTCCGTGTGTGTAAGAAGAGTTTCCATAGCAACACCTAGGCGTCTCCCCAATTCTCTGACACATCTGCCACAGAGCAAATATTTGTTTATTAGATGAATATTCCACCTTATTTCTTACCAAGTCAAAGCGAATTACATCATTCTCCTACTGCTCTCAATTTTACCCACAACAACCCTTTGAGGCAGGTTGGGCTGAGAGTCTGTGACTGGCCCAAAGCCACCCAGTTGGCTCCATGGCTCAGCGGGGACCAGAACCCAAATCGCCTGACTTTCAGTCCCATGCTCTTAACCACTGCACCACACTGGCTCAGAGTTCCTCTTCAGACTTCTCCAGAGCAGTTTCCAATGCCCCTGAAGTTCTGCCAGCAGTGGCTGAACATTCACTCTTGGACTTTTTCACATTTTTGTGTAGTAACCTGGAACTGAAATAGATCATTAGATCCATTGTTACCACACCATGTACAAAATATTCAGCTTGGTGAAAGTGCAAGATATTTTTATAGTGACACAAAAATGAGAACAAGGTGGTACTTGCTGGTTGAATAAGCATTCAGCCTCTTTGCTGCAACATCTCTAAATAAGCTCTGGTACAATCCACTGTTTCCAAAGGTCACATATTGTGTGATAGTAGTTGACTAAAATCCACTTATTCCTGTTTCTGTTAGAGGGTATATCTAAACACACACACACACCATGACAACCAAGAAGCTATCAAAACAACTTCATAGAACAGACGCATCAGGTTGTGTTATAATAAATCCCAAACTATTAACATCCCCAGAGCACAGCTATATCCATGATTACAAAGTGGTAAGAAAATTGCTCAACTGTGAGTCTGCCTAGAGTCTGCCTAGAGAAGCCTTCTAGGTGAGGAGAAGCAACCAAGAGGCTAGTGGTAACTCTGCTGGAGCTGGAGAGATCTACAGCTGAGACTGGAGAACAGGTCATGGGACAACTATCACTCAGTTGCTCAACAAAACTGAGTTTTATGGAAGACAGGCGAGAATAAAGGTACTGTTGAAACAAAGCCACACCAAAGCCCATTTGGAGTTTACAAAAATGCACGTTGGGGACACATTAAACATAGGAGAAAGGTTTTTTTTGGCTAATGAGACAAAATTTATTTATTTATTTGATTTATATCCTGCCTTTTTCCTACAAAGGGCTCAAGGCAGCTTACATCTCTTCCTCCATCTTATCCCCACAACAACAACCCTGTGAGGTAGGTTGGGCTGAGAGTCTGTGACTGGCCCAAAGTCACCCAGTTGGCTCCATGGCTGAGCGGGACTAGAACCCAGGTCGCCTGAGTCCCATTGGGACTTGCTACAAAACACTGTATGGTTTTCAGCTGGGTGCATTGCCCTGAGAACACCATCCTCATGCTGAAGCATGGTGGTGGCGGCAGCATGCTGTGGAGGTGCCTTTCCTTGGCAGAGAGTAGGAAACAGGTCAGGATGGAGGGCAAGATGGATGGGACAAATGCTGGGCAATTCTAGATGAAAAATAGTTTCAATCTGCACAGGACCAGGGCCTGGGGTAGAGGTTCACTTTCTAGCAAGACAGCACACAATCAAAGTAACACTGGAGTGGTTTAAACGCAAGAACTTGGATGACTAGGCCATAAAGCTCAATGGATGACTTTTGCCCAGTCAGAGAAGCTCAGGACAACCTACCTCACTGAGGTTTTGTTGTGAAGCTAAAATGAAGCTATGGAAGCCACCTGGGTTCCTTGCAAGAAGGAAAAAAGGCAGGAAATGAAGGCAGTGTAGTAGTAATAATAGCAGTACTGGTATTATTATTGTTGTTGTTGTTATCCGATTGAAAATAAGCCAGATTTGAAAGTGCTGTTCACTGACAGTCTCCATTCAGCCTGACAGAGCTAGAGCAGTTTTTTTTGGAAGAAAACATGGCTCTTTAGTTCCTCTTCACCTTCTACCATGAGAGTGGTATCATCTGCAAAACTGAGGTTGTTGATATTTCTCCTGGCAATCTTAATTCCAACTTGTGATTCATCTAGCCCCTCATTTCTCATGATGTACTCTGCATATAACTTAAATAGGCAGAGCAACACTATACAGCCTTGCCGAACTCCTTTCTCTATTTTGAACCAATCCGTGGTTCCATGTCCAGTTCTCACTGCTGTTTCTTGACCCACATATAGGTTTTTCAAGAGACAGAGAAGATGGTCTGGTACTCCCATCTCTTTAAGAACTTGCCACAATTGATTGTAATCCACACAATCAAAGGCTTTAGCATAGTCAATGAAGCAGAAGTAGATGTTTTTCTGGAACTCCCTAGCTTTTTCCATGATCCAGCGTATGTTGGCAATTTGATCTCTAGTTCCTCTTCCTCTTCAAAATCCTGCCTGTACTTCTGGTAGTTCTCGGTCCACATACTGCTGGAGCCTAGCTTGTAGGATTTTGAGCATAACTTCGCTAGCATGTGAAATGAGTGCAATGGTGCAGTAGTTTGAACATTCTTTGGCATTGCCCTTCTTTGTGATGGGAATGTAAACTGACATTTTCCAATCCTGTGGTCACTGTTGAGTTTTCCAAATTTACTGGCATATTGAGTGTAGCACTTTTGCAGCATCTTCTTTCAGGAGTTTGAATAGCTCAGCTAGAATACTGTCACCTCCACTAGCTTCATTGTTGCTCAGACTCCTTAAGGCCCATTTGACTTCACATTCCAGGATGTCTGGCTCGAGGTCAGTGACCAGATTGCTGGGAGAAATATCAACAACCTCAGATATGCAGATGATACCACTCTCATGGCAGAAAGTAAAGAACTAAAGAGCCTCTTGATGCAGGTGAAGGAGGAGAGTGCAAAAGTTGGCTTGAAACTCAATATTAAGAAAACTAAGATCATGGCATCCAGTCCTCTCACTTCCTGGCAAATAGATGGGGAAGAAATGGAGGTAGTGACAGATTTTATTTTCCTGGGCTCCAAGATCACCGCAGATGGGGACTGCAGCCAAGAAATTAAAAGATGCTTGCTCCTGGGGAGGAAGCTATGGCAAATCTAGACAGCATACTAAAAAGCAGAGACATCACCCTGCCAACAAAAGTGCATATAGTCAAGGCTACGGTTTTCCCAGTTGCAATGTATGGCTGTGAAAGCTGGACCATAAGGAAGGCTGAGCGCCAAAGGATTGAGGCCTTTGAATTGTGATGCTGGAGAAGACTCCTGCGAGTTTCTTAGACTGCAAGATGATCAAACTGGTCAGTCCTAGAGGAGATCAACCCTGACTGCTCTTTAGAAGGCCAGATGTTGAAGATGAAACTCAAATACTTTGGCCACCTAATGAGAAGGTAGGACTCCCTCGAGAAGAGCCTAATGCTGGGAACAATAGATAGCAAAAGAAGAAGGGGACGGCAGAGGATGAGGTGGCTGGATGGAGTCACTGAAGCAGTTGGTGTGAGCTTAAGTGGACTCTGAGGGATGGTGGAGGACAGGAAGGCCTAGAGGAATTTTGTCCATGGGGTCACGATGGGTCAGAAACGACTTCCCGACTAACAACAACAACAACCAAGTATTGGCTCTGGGGGCAGGGGTGAATACTTATGCAAACTACATGTGCCACTTTTGTTTTGTTTTTGCTTGAATTTTGTGCAACAATGAAAATATCCAGGCTGCTGGATGTCGGAAACCCAGAAGCAAGTCATGAGTACAATTTGTTGAAGAACAGGTTGCTGTTGCCATTTCCCTTCCTTGTTATACCCAACATGGCATTTTCCACAACAGCCTTTTAGTAAAGCAGTATTTCCATCAAGCGAACCAGCACAATTCCAGGATCTTCTTGACTAGCTCAGATCTCACCAATGTAGGTATGAAGTTGGGACTTTTTGCTGGAATATGCATCACTTTACTTGCTCACATCAAACCACTTTTGAAATGTTAATGCCCTTGTTCCCAATTTAGAGAGATCCTTTTCATAGCCCCTTTGTGTTTTAAGCATCCTTAATATTTGTGTCATCAGCAAACTTGGCTACCTCACTGCTTGCTCCTAATTCCAGATAATTTATGATCATTTATGATCTGGAATGCAGATTCTTGTGGGACATCACTGGTTAATCTCTCCCTCTGCTTTCTGTTCTTTGGCAAGTTACAAATCCACAAAAAGCACCTCTGCTAAGTTTGCTCAAAAGGCTCTGCTGGGGGACTTTTGGAAGTCTGTATGTATCAGACCGTCCCATCCACACGGTTTCTGCTAGAAGGCTTACGAGACCAGGAGCGGTGCTCTATTTCAGCAGAGCTTTTCTTTCAATATGCAGGCAATGTTTACAGCCCATTTCCTATCTCATCCTGCTGTCTGTTTAGGCCAGGCCTGTTTGCAGAATAAGGAAGTTGTTTCCCCCTTTACACAAAACTGTGTTTTTGAATGGAGGAAGAGGATAAAGCAAAGCAACCCACAGATGGAGGGGCTTGGGGTTCCTTTCAGTGACTGGGGGACGGGTGAAGGAGGACAGCATCGCCTGCCAGCTTGACTAGTATAGCACACGTGATTTCCAGCAGCTTCAGTGCTAGCGGAATCTTTCCAGAGGGAGTAAAAACTTGTGACAGAGTGACAACTAATTAACCATGGCCGCCTTCAGATGTTGTAAGAGTGAAGAGTGCTGCATGGACGGGCAGGGTGGCGGGGCCATTTGCTGCCCCTTCCCCTCAACAGACCCCCTTCCGCCCCTCAGCAGGGCTGCGGGAATGGAGAGCGATGCAGCCCTGCAGCACTGACTCCTGGCAACCTCTGGATGCAAGTTCTGCTGCAGGCAGCAAGCGTGTGAGAGTGCTGCTCCCCCAGGGTGGGATCTGAGCTGAGAGGGAAAAGTTACAACAATCCTGCAAGGTAGTCCACTGCCAGTTGGGGGTCAGGATAAGACTGTTTGGGTTCCTTTCTCTTGGAAACTCCCCTCAGTTTTCAGTAAGGGTCGGTCAAGTGGAATTGCCCTAACAGGTTTGAATTTGGGAAGTATCTTCTTGAAATCGGTGACATGTACTTCTGAGGAAATAAAAATAGGATCTGGCTGCATGTTTGTTTCTTTGTTTGTTTCCATCATAGGAGCATGAGGTGGCAAGCATGGATTTTTTCACTCTCAGTGATCCTGTGAGGTAAGTAGGCTGAGAAACAGTGATTGGTTAAAAATGGAAATATGTGGTGTGCTTATTTTCTTTTTTGTTTTAACAGTATTCTAAGCCCATAAAATAGATTGTAAATAAATGATCACATAATGTGCACTGTTTTATATTTATTAAATATAAAGCTATACACCCCTGAAACTCAGTGTTACAGATGGAACAGTAAGTTGTTGTACCAAAAGTTAGCAAAGCAGGAAAGAGTTTAAAACAGAAACCATCAACACCCCAGTAACCAAAAGCTTGTTTGTATTATAATTTGGTATTTGGAATAGTCTTTTCTTTGTCATCTGCATTATCCTGTAACAAGTAAAATAATGCCAAAAGCAAACAAAAACGTACAACTTCAGGAGTGACTGATATGCTCTGCAAGCAACAATCTCTATTCAGATTCTTTCAAACTCTCTTTAAAAGAAGGCATGGTTATCTCTCATCTAAAATTGTGAGTTTATTACCTGGTAATACCCTGATGCTGTGGAGTTGTCCCATATAGCTAGAAACTATTTTGAGAGCAAGACATGCAGTGAAACCAGTGTGGTTTGTTCTTCCCACCAACCCTTGGGAAGGTTCTTAGGTACAACCTGTAACCATCTTAGTTCTTGGCAGAGTCTCATCTGAATATCTGCAGCCTCCTCCCTCCTTGAACCTTAAGCCAGTTACTAGATGTAGACTCTGTACCTTCATCCTCAGCAGTTCCCTTTTCTTTTGTTTACCTTCTTGTTTGATAAACAGTTCTGGAAAAAAACTTGCACAATATATTGTGAATTTTGAGTTGACCTAATGCAAGTTGACCTAATGCAAAATGGAGTTCGGTATTGGCTTTTGGAATCATTACATCCTTTTACACACAATAAAAGAAGAAATGTACTATTCCCCAAATAGTTTCCCCAGCTCTTAAAAAAATCCACTAGTAAAATGCAGGATGTGGCAGCAGACAAATTAGGTGTGAGGTAGGGTCATTTCCCAGTATTCACATCACATAGCTGTTTACTCTGCAGGCGTGAAACTGCTGTGTGAAAACTGGAGCTACAACAGTTGTGAAGCCCCTGGCTAAATTGAGAGGATGCAAAATGATCTTCAAATTTCCTCTACAGGAAGATACAATCTTACATTAGCCTGGTAACTGCTTGATTCTGTCTCTTCCCTTGCTCATAGAGAGATAGAGAGGCATTATCTCTCAGCTTCAAGTTATTCTGAGAATAAAATGGAGACTGCTGTGAGAGAAACAGCACATGAATTCTGCTGAACTTTCGTTGTGCACAAGATTGAATACTCCTGATGAGCCATCAGAATTTCTAGAGTTGCTGGTGAAAACAGAAGAAATCTACTGGAACAGACCAGGGCCTGTTCTTGCTGTTGCTTTAATTATATTTTTACTATACCAAACAGCAAAAGGAACAAGCAAACATAAAATAAGTAAATCATAGCAACAGATGCAAATATTCCTTCAGTGTTACATCATTATAAATATCATAGTAAACTTAGGTAAGCCATGAGCACAAGGTTATACAGATCTTTCTTTCATCCAATAATATTTACTTAAACAGTGATTCTATATAATACTTTGATTTTTGCTTTCAAAATTCTTTGCAATACCCTGAGTGTTTATATTGGAGAGGTTATTATATTGAGTATCCATCCTATTTGTATACACAATAAAATCATATCTTATAGCATAAAATGAATCGTACTTACTTTGACCCCTTGGCACCTTCAGTTTATGATATTTTTTCCCATCAAATCTGTTTGCAATACCATATTGCACCAATAATCTGTTCTCTGAAAATGAAAGCTATTGCAATATCTTGCAATGCTGAAAGTGGAACTGTCTGCATGGGTGGAGAGGAGAGAAGTTGTGGTTCTAGAAACTCTGAGAATTGTTTTCTCTCTTCTAAAAAGTAAGTAGTGAACATCTCTATGCATTTTTATGAGAATCCAGCCTTCTTTCCCTACTGAAGAGGGGACCTGGCAGTTTGTGTGCCTCTTCCTTTCTCCTCCTGGGACAACTGAGTGACACAGACTCCTTTAATTGCAGAATGTAGCATTAGGGTTGATGTTTCTCTCTCCATCTAATTTAGTTGTGAATTTAGCTGGAGGTGGTGGTGGTGACAAGGAGCATGATTATGCATAATGACAAAAGTACTCTCAAGTTTTCTTACACTGCAGTCCTTCACTACTGTTTTCACTGTAGTGGTGATTTTATTGTGATTTTGACTGTATGTAAGACGCCCAGAGAGCCAATGGCTAATGTAGTGGCACATAAATCAAATATATAAATGTATACTCAGTAATAACTCCTACTGAGTCAGTGATTGCTACATTCAGGTAAGCAAGTAGGGGTTTGTAGCTTAGTATTTCCATCTTCCACACTGTTTTTTCCTGACTTCAGCATCTCTCTGTTGCTTCCAGCCAAGGCAAGGGCAGGAGCTTTGCACTCGTCGGGAACTGAATCTGGACCACCACTTTCCCTCATAGGCTGTAACAGAAGGTCTACTGGTAGAATTTGCAGAAAGGGAGAAAATGTCTGATGTAACATCTAGCGAAAGCCTAACCAAGGAGTTTCCTGATTACTGTCATGAAGCCTGTGAAACACAAAGCAAAACAGGTAATGATGCCTTTTCAGTCTGAGTGGAGGCTGTAAAGATGAGGGGTGTTTAGAGAGCAGCTGCCTGAGCAAAAGCATGCATGGCATCTCTGCAGATATTATCTATAATCTGTGCTCTAACGTAACAGCATCCTAGTTTCAGTCTTGGGGAGCAATCCTATGCTAGGTAGCTCGGGGGGAGGGAACATGTTTCATTAAAGCCTTATAGACTCCAATAAATTCTCCTGATTTGTCTTCTCTAGTAAAAGAAAGCAAATCTGTCAGTGTCCTCCCTGACCCCCAGCATTCCTAATTACCATATTTTTCGCTCTATAAGACGCACTTTTCCCCCCCTCAAAAGTAAGGGGAAATGTCTGTGCGTCTTATAGAGGGAATATGTGTGTGTGCCCAATGCCCGGGACGCTGCCGGCCCGCCTGCACCACATGGTACCACCTGGCCGGCACGCGCTCGGTGTGTGCTGCTCCACCCTCCCTCCAGTGCAGGTGGGAGCTGTACCGCTCAGGGGGAGTGGTGCAGAGGAGGAGGAGCCGCGGGCTTTAACCCGCCGGCTGCACGGAGAGACGGACTGCTCACCCCCACCATCCGGAGAGACCTGCTGCGGAGGAGGAGGAGCCGCGGGCTTTAACCCGCCGGCCGCACGGAGAGAGACAACTCACCCCCACCACCCAGGAAGACCTGCCGCGGAGGAGGAGGAGCCACGGGCTTTAACCCGCCGGCCGCACGGAGAGACGGACTGCTCACCCCCACCACCTGGAAAGACCTGCCACGGAGGAGGAGGAGCCGCGGGCTTTAACCCGCTGGCCACACAGAGAGAGACAACTCACCCCCACCACCCGGGAAGACCTGCCGCGGAGGAGGAGGAGCCGCGGGCTTTAACCCGCCGGCCGCACAGAGAGACGGACTGCTCACCCACACCGCCCGGGAAGACCTGCCACGGAGGAGGAGGAGCCACCCAGAAGACCACTGCTGGCATGCTGCCGGCCCGGCTGCACCACATGGCACCACCTGGCCAGCATGCGCTCGACGCACCCTGCTCCCCCCCCCCCCGGCCCGGGTGAGGGCTGTGCCGCCCAGGGGGGGTGGTGCGGAGGAGGAGGAGCCATGGGCTTTAACCCGCCGGCCACATGGAGAGACAGACTGCTAACCCCCACCGCCCGGGAAGACCTGCCGCGGAGGAGGAGGCGCCGCGGGCTTTAACCCGCCGGCTGCACGGAGAGATGGACTGCTCACCCCCACCACCCGGGAAGACCTGCCGCGGAGGAGGAGGAGCCGCCCAGAAGACCACTGCCGGCACGCTGCCGGCCCGGCTGCACCACATGGCACCACCTGGCCGGCACGCGCTCGGTGCACGCTGCTCCACCACCCCCCCTCCAGTGCAGGTGAGAGCTGTGCCGCTCAGGGGGAGTGGTGCAGAGGAGGAGGAGCCGCGGGCTTTAACCTGCCGGCCGCACGGAGAGACGGACTACTCACCCCCACTGCCCAGGAAGACCTGCCGTCGCCCCGCCCGGAAGACCACCAGCGGCACACTGCCGGCCCGGCTGCACCACACCTGGTCGGCACGCGCTTGGCGCACCCTGCTCCGCCCCCCTCCTCCGGCACAGGTGAGAGCTGTTAATCACAGGTCGGTGTGTGTTTTCAAATGGCAACCCGTCTTTTAATAAAGTCCATGGGGAAGTGATGGGGAATGTGCCTGTGATTATCAGGAAGCTTTCCATGGATCTCTCCTCTTAAAACGAGGTGTGTCTTATGGTCAGGTGCGTCTTATAAAGTGAAAAATACGGTAGCTCAGATGTGCTAATTAGGTGCAAATGTATAGAATTTGGCCAACTTATACATTAGGGTTAGGGTTAGGGTTAAAACATACACCTCAGTTTTGATCCTGAAGTCCTAAAATCTAACTTTCTTTCTTTGTAAAATCTTGTTTTCATCTGTAGTTCATGCAAAAGTACTCACAAATCAAGTTTTTATTTCCTTTCCACTGGAAAAGTAATACTTTGTTTTCTTACCCTGTTTGGTATAGCAAATGTCCTTTTGCGGAAGCTTTGGCCACATAGAACAAAGATGGCATGCTTACTTCTTTCCGTATCGTTTCTTGGGAATATTATCCTCACTGCCTTTGTTATTGGTAAGTTGCCCAGTATTTGAATTACTTCTTGAATTGCCTTGAAAACCTTGAAAAATCTTGAATTACTTCTCCTTAATCACCCAGTTGTGATAGTGACCATGAATATAAATATCAAAACTCCAGATGAGCCTTAAAAAAGAATCACTAACAGTGAGAGCTGGTGTGGTGTAGTGGTGAAGAGTGCAGGACTGGGACTCTGGTGATCTGGGTTCTAGTCCCCACTCAGCCATGGAGCCCGCTGGGTGACCTTGGGCCAGTCACGGAATGTTAGCCCAACCTACCTCTCAGGGTTGTGTTATGGGGATAAGATTGATGGCAGCAGGAGGAAAACTTTGTAAGCAAAAAGGTGGGATATACATCTTATAGATAGATAAATAAATAAATAGAGGTATCTCTCATTTAACACTGTTAATTGATCATGCAGTATTGCTGCATATATCAAAACTGAATTAATCACATCTAATAATCAATGGTACAAGTTACAATTCATCCATCATTGATTACTGTGTTAACAATTCATCATGTGGTATTGTTTTAAGAAAGACAAAATATGATTGCAAAGTAAATGTTTTATTAATGCATACTAATTGGAATCCTCCTTGGACTACAATCTTCCAGCCAAACAAGCCAAATCTTCCTTTTCAATCATTAACACACTTTGGTTACATGTGCATTGCTGACTCATTAAAGCCAATTTTCACTTGCAAATTCACTTTTACTTTTACCACTTTTAATTTTTTTAATTGTATCAAGTTTTGTATCTAAGTACTTTCCTTTTCCTTTTCTCACTTGATGGTCTGGTGCTCTGATTCTTCCCCATGGTAAATAGGTTCTTACAACAAATAACTGCAGTTTGTAATACAAACACCACCAACATTGGCCTCACAGGAGCCCTGAGATCACAGATGGGTGGGAGGATTGATGTCATCCTGCCCACGACTGTTAGTGGCAAATTTTAAAAGGCGTGTTAATTAAAACTCAGGCACGTATATCAAGGGATTGTCACAATTAATTTTGCCATGTTAATCAAAACCCCCATTAATCAAAACTGTGTTAAGCAAGGGATACCTGTAGAAGCACTGCACTGAAATATCACTTTAGCAACATTCCCAAGGAATTTAAAGTCCACATAAAGAATAGATTTGCATAACTGAATGCAATTGACCATGAATGGGGAGAACTGTGGACTAAAGACAGTATTAGGGATAAAAAAAGACAATTCCTCTAGTAAAAAAGAAAGGAAAAGCCTAGGTGGGTGTTGGCAAAAACACTATTAATTTGCTAAGGACAGGAGAGAAGCAAAAGGTGACCGAAACAGAGTCAGAATCTTGAATGTGACTTTTCAGCAACTATCCCACAGAGAGAAAAAGAATGATTACAATGACCAGTGCAAAGAAATAGAAGACAACAACCAAAGAGGGAAAAGGGAGACCTCTTCTATAAGATCCAAGAAACAAAAGGGAAATTCAAGCCTAGATGCTAAAAGACAAACAGGGGGACATACTTTCTGACGAGGAAAGAATAAAGAGAAGGTGGAAAGAATACACAGAAAAGAACTATAGAGAAGAGATGAAAGGACAACACGCTCTTTCGCAGAGGAATCCTAAGAGGAAGCCCCTGTAAGGCTAGACAGCAAAGTGAAAGCTGCCCTGAAAGCCCTTGGAAGGAATAAAGCACCCAGAATAGATGGGACACCAATTCCAAGCTGCAGAGAATGAATTGGTTACATATGGTATAACAAAAAAATAGCTCACAGACTGAAAACTTTCAATGCACATTCCAAGCTCCAAGAAGGGAGGTGCTAGGAAAAGTAGCAACTATAGGACCATTGCCATGCAATTGAAGAGGAGGTCAAGGTATTGCGATGAAGAAATGATCCCTGATGAAAGTGAAAGTAGAAAGTGCAAAAACAGAACTGCGGGTGAACTTTAATAAAAGAAGCATCATCACTTAATGTCAACAATGAAGAAACTGAAATTAGGAAAGATTGTACATACTATTGTGAGGAAGTGTAATGGCGGGCTCTGGCGAGTGTTCTCACAGGATGTGAGCCACACCAATTTTGTTGATTCAGACTCAGAAGAAGAAATGGTTTATTTCGATGGGAGTTGTTCAAGGGCCTGAGGCCCAGCTGGAGGCAGCAGTGGCAGAGATTTGCTCAAGGGCAGCAGGGGGGCAGAGCAACCTGGCCTGGGAATGCTGGGGAGTCACAGCCTGAGGGAGGAATTGTGGACATGGGAAGTTCCTCCAGTGGAGAGTCTGCACCCCTTGAGAAGTCGGGCCTGGTGCTCACTGCCATCACCAGAGGGAAGCACAAGCAGGGACACAACGGGAGGGATGGAGGCGTGTGCCCATTTTCATGGCGCACCTCCCCCAGGGGCGAGACACAGAAGGACTCATAAGGGGCGTTTTGGGGAGCAAATGCCAGATTACTGTCAATTAACTGCTTTGTGTTTGCTCAGAGATATCACTCGATGATTTAGATGTGGAAACAGTAAAGAGCATTAAGAGGGGAAAAACTGTGTGAGTCTGATGCTGGTTGGAGGGAGAAACTGTGCTCAACTTGGCTTAGTTATCAACTCAGAGGAAGCCTAGCCAAGAAATTTGAGGAAGATGGAGACATGGAAAGGCAGCAGTAAAGGAACTAGGGAAAAAATCTCCATTTTTTTTTCCATTTTTTGATCTGGACATTTAGCCAGAGACCAAGGAAAGCTCATCCATACTATTGTATTCCCAATGACAATGATGGATGTGAAAGCTGGGCAGTGAAGCAAGTGGATGGAAAGAGAACAGATGCATTTGAAACATGGTGCTAGAGGATCATTTTGTGAATACGCAAAATGACAAAACTGAAGCTGCCATAGTTTGAGAACATCATAAAAAGGCAAGAGACTTATTCTAGGGAAAGTCAAAGTAAGGAAAAGGAAGAGGAGGAAGGGGAAAACCAAATATGAGATTGATTGAGTCCATAAATGAAGCCACAGTCTTGAGTTTACAAGAGCTAAGCAGGATGTCAAGCACAGGATATTTTGGTGGGCACTTGTTTATAGGGTCTCTCTGAGTTGAAGCTGACTTGATGGAATGAACAGCAGCAACTCACCTAACAGTTCCCCAGAATTCTGGAAGAACTATGGCAGCTTTGCAGTCGGTACACTTAATTGCCTTCCCACTCTTTCCAGTTTAGTAAAAATGGAAGAAACCAAATGGGAACATTCATAGAAAAAGGGGGTTAAGAGTGGAGAGAAATGCTCACTCACCAAGAAGAAAAGTTGAAGTAGGAAAACAGAGTTGTAAACAAGGATGTTCTTCGTACAAAAGCTTACCTCTGCCTCAATCTCTCTAGGCACACTTCTGTAAGCCTTGGGTGTGTGATATGAGGGTGATAATACCAGTGCAGACTGATGAAAAGTGATAAATATGGGAGGTACCTGAAGCTGAAGACCTTTCGGCATAGTAAAGTATACTTGGGAGTATACATAAATTTGCATGTGTTACAGAAGCACAGAGACAGAAAGCATCACATGTCCTTGGACTGACATGGGGCACGAGTGGAGGGAATGCCCCTGCCTAGCCCCATTTCTCCATCCCAGCTCTTGCTTGAGCACCTTTCTGCCCTCCAGGAGGAGCAAAGAAGAGAGCATGCCTGCCCTCCCCGGCTGCCACTTGGGAGAAAAGCCCTCTGGTGGGCAGCAAGCTGGGGCGGCTGGTGTGTGCCAGTACCGCTTTCTCCCAGCCAAGAACAAGAGGGAGGGCAGTGGCACTTGCACCCATAGAAAGCAACTCTGGATTAATCCAATCAGCGTCAGGCAATGTGCCACTTTGGGTTGTGGTGACATGTATGGCCATGTCTGTTGCCATGCCTGTGCTTATGCTGAAGTGTGAGGAGTGCTGGGCAGGCAAAAGTTTAATACCCTTTTCCATTTTTAGTGTTGCTTCCCAAAGGTTCTGAGCAACCCTTCTCTGGTCCAGCATGTCCAAATAAGTGGATTGGCCATCAGGGAAAATGCTACTACTTTTCAAAAGAAAAAAGGAATTGGACTTCCAGCCAGGACTTCTGTCTGTCACATAATGCCTCCCTGATGACTTTCAGTGCTAGTGAGGAAAAGGTAATAGCCAGAATCCTTTTGCCCACACGTCATCTTGCTTGTTATATAGGTTTGCTGTACTGGAAGGGGGTGAGGCATCCATTTGCAGGTAAAACATATGTGAAGACTAAGTCAGGATGCAAACCTTTAACACATTGAATTTGTTGTTGTTAGTCACAAAATCACATCCAACCCATTGCAGCCCCATGGAAAACATTCCTCCAGGCCTTCCTGTCCTCCACCATCCCCCGGAGTCCACTTAAGCTCACACCAACTGCTTCAGTGATTCCATCTAGGCACCTCATTCTCTACCGCCCCCTTCTTCTTTTGCCTGCAACACATTCAATAAATGTTGGCAAATCTGTGTCTTGGTCATTTTGTTTGTAGAAAACTCAAGAACAGTGAGCTCTTGCATTCATGTCCATCATCCACTGCCATTGGCTATGCTCAATAAGGGTTGCAGACCAAAACATCTGGAGGGCTACATGTTGCCCACCCCTTGATTGACAGATATTCTACATCTTTCATTTCCTCAGTATCTAAGAATATTCCTCCTGTAGGAATAGCATTAATAACAGCAATCACAATAGAGTCACTGACTGAGTTCAGGCAAGGATAACACACACTCAAGGGTTCAGTATGGATTGAGTTTGGGTTGCCATTGGCCCATGGGTTGTTGCTGAAATGTGTTCTCTGAGCCAGGTTCCTGTGTTTGTCACTTTATGGTTTCCTTTTATGTGATCTGCTAGAAAGGCCAACTTGAAAGCAAGACTGGTGAAATAATGGAACTTTAATTTTCATCAAAGAACGTCTTTTCCGTACTATGCAGTCAATACTCAGATCAAAAATGTTTCACTCTCTTTTGTTAATGGGTGCTTTCAGGTGGAGTGCCTCTGGCACTCTCAATTAAAAGGCATTCTATACTTTTTCCCTGTTTTCCTCCTCATGGGTTCCCCTCCCCCAGAAAGGAAAAAAATGGGGAAAGTGGTGGGAAAATACAGGAGTTACACATGCTCTGGAGCCCCTGTAAAAATCCATGTTTGAGGCAGGGTGGTTGCAGGGTAAAATCCTTATACGGAAGCACCCAAAGTCTAGGATTCAATTCAGATATTACACCAAATCATAGCTATAGTTTAATTATTGTTTCATGTGATGTCTCCATTGACAAGCTGTGATTGTGATATGCCAGTAAAACAGAACAAGAAATGATGGCTTGACATGGGTGTGTAATCATGGTTCGTGAAAACTGTGGTGCAGCTGGATAGACCATCCATCATTACTGCCACTGTTCTGCATTCAAAGCTGCTACACAGTGGAGATAGGGAGGAACTAATAAAGCAGTAACATGGGGGTCGGGAAAGCAGTCAAGCATCTGGCTTTGTTTACCTTTGCAAGTTTAAGCCAGGGGTCTGTTTTCACCCAGTAAAGCAGAGGGGCTGGAACAGTTCCCATGCCGCTCCAAATTCTGTAATTTCCCTTTTGTTCATAGGGTCACTGAAGGTGGCTAGTAATACTTAGTGTTACTATTGGTACTTTACATCATAGTTGTTGCACTGACAGCTTGTGAAATCAGATTCTAATAGTCATGTCTTTTGATCTGAAAAGGATTTTGTGATACGTTTCAAAGGCAAAGATATTTTTTGGATTGGCCTCAGAAGAGACTCCAGTCAGACCTGGAAATGGACAAATGGAGTAGATTCAAGGTGAATATTCCTCTTTCCTTTTTTACCTTTCACTACTGAGAAATTGAGAAATTTCCACAATTGAAATCTCTGCCTGTTAAGCAGGTCTACAGTTTATTGGTAAGAATCTTGCTCTTATCGTTGCTGTTTACAATATAATTGTGCACAAGACATAATTTTACTTGAAACTTGGTGCAATTTATTTGAAGTATTTACATATAAAACAAATTTGGAAACCTGTTTCTGAAATTCTAGTTCTTTCCTAGCATGGAGGGAGTATGATCTGGAAAGAAGCAAGACAGACAAGATCAGTAAAAAATCCATGTCTTGGGCATTACTTCAGGGTGGGCAAACACATCCCTTGTGTTTGTGAAAGCTGTTTATATGATAATGTCCAATTCTTCTCTTTGTATTAACTCACCTGGAGTGTATTGGATAGAGGCTTCAATCCAGCAAGTCCATTTAATTTAAGTGAGTGGGCTTTGTATGTCTGCTGTTTTTCTGAACTGCAGGATACATTAAGACACATCGAAAGTTATTTTTGGAACTCAGAAAAACAAGTATGGATTTTCAAAAGGGGTGGCAGGCAGTTCAGAAAAAGAAGTGGAACAATCCTCTTGGGTTTCTGTTTCTTTTCCTCTCCTACATTTGGTGTCTGCACAACTGTGAAATTTCATTGGTCAAATTTGCTGTGCTAGCTTTTAGTGATTATCCTGTAATAAAGATCTATATACCTGATCTTTGCTGGAAGTGCTTCCTCATGTTGATGGCTTCTGAAAAGCACTGAAGGCAGCAGTTACACCTTACAGCTATCTGCAGCAGCCTGCCAAAGCAGGAGTTGGCAGCAAGATGCCTGTCCCAGTCCCAGTTCCAAGAGCTGGAGTTTGCTCTGTGAAGTCACATTTCTAAAGCAAAGGAAGCATTTCTGAAGTGTACAGTTTCAAGTGTAGAATGAGAGCTAGTCTTAATCACATTGGCCTACAGTAGAATCAAGGACACCTGGCTGAAGGATAGGTCCAAGCTTTATACTAGCAAGAAGACATTTGGAACTGATTGTGTAAATATAAGCATGAGGAAAAATTCTGTTGTTATTGACCATTGATTTATACTTTCTAGGAAAGTGCTTTTGGGAAAGATGAATCCATGAGCAGGAATCTTAAGTTCTCACCCTGGATTCACCCCAACCCCAGAGGTTTCATTTATATGAAACACACATGTCCTTAGCTGTCAGGAACCAGATATTCCTTGTTTAATGCAAACAATTTTCATGTTTCTCTTGCAGTTTGGAGGTGATTGGAAATGGGGGAGATTGTGCTTTTCTGAACGATGAAAACATTGCAACATCTTCATGGTGCCAAATGAAACTATTCTGGATCTGCAGCAAAACAGATATTTTACAGTGCTCAGGTAGAACATGCAAGAGCAAGAAATAGCAACAGACTCGAGGACATTCATTGAAAATTAACATGTTCTGGTTTTTTTAAAAAAGCAATTGCTAAATCTCTTGGAAAAACTGATGTATTAACTTAGGCCACAGTCTTGGGTTCATCTATAACTGGCCAAGAGGTTGGTCTGCATTCAGTGTTTCTACAAAGGCCCTGGTATCTGAAAACTTTAGGGGAGGGGGGGATCACAGAGTTATTTGTTACGCATGCTGGAAATGGCTGTAGATTTGCCTGTACTCCCAACATGTCCCCAGAATGTGGGAGGAAAGTTGGCCCTAGAGCCATCCCAGTTCTGTTGCCCCCATTGGAAACAACATGAGGATGAAGAAGCATCCTCATAAAAGAGAAATAATTCAATACAGCCTTCGATTCCCATTTTTTACCACACTAGTGAGGGCATTGGAAAAGGCACCACCTTCTCCACCTTGGTTCCTCCCTCTCCCTCTCCCATTCAGGGTGTCCACAAGAGGCTTTTACTGTGCAATTGCCATGCCTCATTTGCAGCATTTTATGGGGGGAGCAGGGATATCTAGAAAACATTTTCAGTTTGTAGCCCTCCTGGACTTTCCTCATTTTGGTTACCTGAAAAGTATATATTATGGAAGAAAAGACAGCATATCAGCACTATGGCTGAGTTCACATGAGAAAGCAACCCCTCATGTAACTAAATTGTGCAGTGTGGGTTATTCAAGAAAAAACACAGGGTGCACTTCACAGATGAATAGGCACACCATGGGTTGTGCCCTGCTCCTCCACAGACTCCATAGCAGAACTTCTTGTTTCCTCTCTCTGCTATATCCCTGGCCCCCTTTGCAGCCGCCACTTCTCCCCCCCCCCCCCCCCCCTTTCCCCCTTTTTTTCCCCC